CAGGTTCAATTCTGGTCAAGGGCATGTACCTTGGTTGTGGGCACATCCCCAGTAGGGGGTGTGCAGGAGGCAGCTGATCGATGTTTCTCTCTCATCGATGTTTCTAACTCTCTATCCCTCTCCCTTCCTCTCTGTAAAAAAATCAATAAAATATATATTTTTTAAAAAAATAGCTGCTTGTTCGGGCTCAGAGTGAGAACTTAATGAACGAGGAACAGATATAGGGGGCGATACTTTTCACTGTATACTTTTTATGCTTATTGATTTTTGAACATAAATACATTACAGTGTGTTTAAGGAGAAAATTTCTATAATCAAGAGCATTACATAAGCACTACATAATACTTTGACGCAGAGGTTTCTACAACCAAAAAACTATTCAAGCTGAAATGATCTACTATGTAATCACTGAGCTTACTCTACCATAGCATATACTAAGAGTATTTAAGAAGGCTGAGTTACATTCACAAAGTTATGTCAGTGGTCATAAACGGCAACTGTACTAGAACACATTTAATTTCTAAAATTAATGTTTCTGGTTACTAGGTGGCTATTTTTATAATAAGTGTTTAAATCTATTAAGAAATAATATACATGATAAGCACATTTTTTTAAACCACCCTGTAAATTATTTGCTGATTAAGCTAAACATCTAAGCCAAGTACTCAATTGTTCTACTAAAACAGACTGGAATTATTTTCCATAAATTGGCTAACATACAAAGCCTTTAATAAAGGGCTGAGAATTATAATGTTTTACAGCATAAAAGAATCTTCTCATGTCACAGACTTTCCCAATGTAGTGCTACCTAAGAGAGAGAGTTTATTGTATTCAGATGTTCTGATTACAGTACACACTGTCTTTTCTGCTAGATCTTATTTCTTCCCACAATGACTTACTTGGTAATAATCTCTTAGAGCTGGAAGGGGTTCTCAGGGCTAGGCTTTGGAACCCAAGAAGTCTTTCAATAGATAAAAATGAATCTCATAGAGAAAAGACAATCCTTCACGATTTTATAAAAGATAAACTTGTTGATGGGCAATTCTAATAAAAAATATTAATAAAACTACTATAGTACATCATTCAAACCATGTATTGAGTTATGCAACAGCAATGTTAAATAAAATACATTGTTGCTATCATTTCATGTAAACCAAAAATTAACCAAAAAAATGAGACTCATGACTTTTAATGTATATGAATTTTATGTTTCCTGAAAGTATTTCTTGACTTTAATTTCTTTAACCCCCTCAACATTACTTTCATAACTAACTCCAAATCATATCAATTATATTTCAAGGAGTATTTTAAAAGAAAATATTATTATATCATTTCCCACCTTTCATTTCACTGAAATGAAGGCTTTAATATTCAACTGATATTATTCTTTTGGAACAATAAAGAATAATGCATTTTAAGAAGCTTCTTTCTGAATTACTACCAAAACCATAAATAATCACAAATTAAAACAAGCTAAATGTCTGGGAAAGTATTCTTCATTATTTATATTTTATCATATTAAAATCTAAAATGTTTTCTTCCGCCTTCTACTTTCATCCAGTAAAATAAATTCAACTGTTTTCCTTTACCCCTAATAATACATATGCAATAGTCAGACTATAAACAAGATTCATAAACGTTTATCATGGCTCACTAAAAGATGACAAAAGGTGGTGCAGATACTTACCTACATAATGCATATTAAGAGCCAAATACTTATATTGGAAAAGAGGGTTGTTATTGAGGCTACTTCTTTGGATCTGCTGGAAGAAGGAGCTGACATCCCATCTGTACAGGACATCCAACAGCATGATGCTTGGCACCCTCAGGGCCACATTTAACACTGCCTCCATTTTCTCCTTTGCAGCCATGTTTTTTCTTGGAGCAGACCTAAAATTCAAGAGACACATTATATAAAAACAAGTCACCTCAAATAGCTGTTAGATATCTTCTTATGACTCTAACGGATTTTCACTATATTGGAATGTATGAAACTTCCTAGCCACATTAAGATTCTGATGAAATGTTCATCAGGCCTCCAAATTTATTTTTTAAAAAGCCCCTAATTCCAAATCTAGGCACTTAGCAACAAAATACCCTAAAAGAATATTGCAGCTTTTGTCCAATTAATTTGCGATGTAAAATTCACTCCTATGTAATTACTTGAGATGTATATAGCTCTTAAATGAGGGAAAACATTAAATATTAATAAATGTTAAAAATCC